ATGCAAATCTCATATTTTTTTACATCTAAGTAGAATATAACTTGAATTGTTTTCTATCTCTTTAAGTGGGGAGAAGGATTTTATAGAAGAGATGGGAATGATACACCGAGAAGTCTTGAGCCAGAGGTGGCTGCGCTCCAAGAGCTATTCGCTGAAGTGAAGCGTAGACATCAGGAGAATAATCTTCAGTGGCGTGAAGACTTTACGGAATATTTATTGGGAGTATAAACAGCGTGTTCAAAACCGCCTGAATTTTCAGACGAATACATACACTTCCCTGGCACATTTGACATACCGTTCAAAAGCGATGAATATAAATACTGGGTATGATTTACATTTTAATTCGATAAATTCACGTTTTATTAAGTCGAGTTTGATTCATTTTAGTGGGATCGGTGTATCTATGATGAAAATAATATTCCAACTGATATGTACAGTCCATTTGAACAGAAGTTCTTCGATTTGACACACAAAATTCACATGGCCATGTGTGAACGTTGACTGGACGCAGCAAGAAGCCTGATAAATGAGCTGTCCGAAATGGTGGAGCAGGATCGTTTGTCCATAGCTAGCTCCATAGCATCAAACGTTATATTTCCTGCAAGGCTATAGCTCGAAGCCAAAACATGAAACTATGAAGCAAAGTACATTTTCACCTCTTAACTGATATGCATATTGATTGAAAATATTGTGAATAGAACAATTCACCGACTTATTTCATCGATAATTTTGACTTTAATTAAATTCTTTTCTTTCCAATATTTTTGACATATTATGAATCTTATTCGAACAATTGAGATTTAGTTTCGGTTTCTAAACGAATACAGCTAAATATTAACGTGCTTAACACAGACATTTGACCAAATATTAAAATTAATCTCGAACAATTATACGCAATTACTTTTTCCTTCTACAAAAAAATTATTTCAACTCCTTCTTATTTCTGAATCATTTTGTAGTACATCATGAACTCGCGTTCGTATTCCTGGTATGTTTTACCGTTGAATGTTTCCTTCTTTGGTACCCATTTGCTGAGTGGGTTTTCATCAATGAACCGTATGTAACGCTGAATATTTTGATGGGTTCGATGAATGTTGGCGCAAATCGCTGTGGTTTCATCAGTAGTTTCAGCCAATGTGTCATTCTGTTGACTTTGCTGCATTTTCAATTTCGTTTCATCAACTGAAAATGCGAATAGCAATTAGATTTTGTTCTCGACAAAGGGAATTTGCATCGAAAATCGCAAATTCTAGACAAGACAAGACATAGATTGATCAATCTTTTAACGTTCAAATTTACCTTCAGCCAAGTTATCTGGAGGTATGAATGCCCCTTCAACAATTCCCATCTTGGTGAACCAGTCAATTTGTGCCTGCAATTTCTGAATCGCTCCGGCTGGTGTCATCATGTAATCGGTTACCAATAGCTTCACTTCCTTCGGAAACTGGCTGTACACTTTCAGTTTGACCATCGGATTTGCACACAAATCCAAGTGCCTGAAAAGAGCCACAGTTCATTTTTATTTGAGTTTTCCGAAAAAAAAATCTGAATAATAACCAAATGGCTTACTCTTGCAACGGATTTCGCAGTTTGAATCTGTCGATTGGTGTGCTTATGAACATTTTTATCTCATTCAGTTGATTTGGCAATGACGCTGGCACTGCACGACTTTCTGATCTGTAATTTTGACAAAGAATTTACTTAGAAAATCAGCCAAAGAGACAAAAATTCCAGCTATCAAATGCTTTTCTTCCAGGAAAGCCCTGATAAGCCGAAGAAAAATAAAAATCTGTGTCATATTCTAGAAATACAACGAAAATTTTACCTTCCAAATGGCCCAGTGCTGTTGAGATTGTCTGTTCGAGTGGTGTATAGAACGCTATCGTTATTTGATCCAAAACTGCTGTTGCCAGAATTGTTCATACGAGCCTCACCGTTCGGCGCTGTCGGTTGTTGATCTTTCTTGCATTGCAATAAGTATCGCATCAGTTCTTCGCTATGCTGAATCTTTTCACGTACATGCGACAAATTGTAGATATCTTCATGTGCACGAATGTAAATCGTTTCCATTTCGCTGTAAATGTTGGACAATTCCATGTTTGCGATGCGATAATCGTCATTCGATTTCTTACAGCGTTGAATTTCCAACTCATTCTCGTCGACCCTCTTGAGCAGAAACTCAATTTCGCCTTTACCATAATGTAATGTCGAATAAATGGCCAAGTAATCGCCCAAAAATTCATCATCAATGTTTTGATTATTGTACATGGTGAATTTGGTGCGTAAATCGTTTAGAAATGACTCATAACATACGACGTATTCTTTTACAAGCTCATCGTTATGTTTGTTAATGCCTCTTCGTACGATGCAGAGTTTGATGTGTTTCGCATACAGCTTACCAATTTCGATTTGTAGATTATTCTTTCGTGTTGCATCACCGTGACCGGCATCAACGTACAACACCTTTTCCATGTCCATCAAGCTTAGCGACTCCATCATCGACACTGGCTGTTTCATCTGCTCGCTAATTGTGGTCCATAGAACCAAATTTGGTATCTGAGCAAATGTCTCGCGCAACTTTTGCCAGAGCTGTTGACGTGCCACCAAATTGACTGTGAACATGAGAAACAAACAAACCATTTTTCTTTTATTTTTCATTCATTATTCGCTAAGAAATCCCGAATTACCTTCATAACTTTTCGTGTGATTGAAAGTGGCGTAGAACTTCTGAAGCTCGGCTTTGGCAGTTGCCAATGCGTCCATCGAACTCTTGTCCATGCCGGTATAACCGCTGAACTTCACTGGCGTGATCAGATCGATTTTTCTACCAATTTCGTTTTCCAACTGAATTTGTCGCTCAATGTCAATGGTTTTCAACTTGAAAATGGCATTTTTGGCTGTGATATCAGCTATTTCCTCTTTCAATTGCATCTTTTGAATGTCTATTGAAACAAAGTCAATGGTAAATCACAAATGAACAACTGATCAATGCATCAAAGACAATTGATTGAATGAGATACGTACTGTTTTCTTTAGAGGAAACGGCCAATTTGTTATACTGTTCCTTTTGCGTGGCAACCTTTGTTTTCAGTTGTTCCAATCGTTCTTCCAACTTCTTTTTGGTCTGATACAAGTACAACTGCTCCGATTGAACCTTTTTCACCTGTAACAATCATGACAATGCAAATGAACGCCTAACCTAATCTTACAAATTCTGCCCCGTTATGTACTTACAGCGACCACATTTCCACTGAGCCGTTCAATTTTTCGTACTTTCGTTTCATCGCGTATAGCTTTCACTTCTTGCTGTGGTCTAACACGACGCATTAATTCGTTGAAAGCCAATGCTTGACCTGATGAAAATATACTGGACGCAATGAAAGCGTGTGCCAAAAACAGAAAGAAACAAATTAATATCGGCGACAACATGATCGAAAAGTTTGTGTGTGTTCGACTTACCGACTTAATGTCTTCTTTGGAGGCAGGCACTTTGTCGAACAGCCTAAACTTTCGGCCCATTCTTCAAATTGCCTTATATCATCGTCTACTCCCATTTTATTACAGGTTTGAACTAAATCACTTCAATCAATTTAAAATAAAATCACAAAATTCTGAAAGTGCGTGCTCACTAAACAGAATGCGGCTTCATGCAGTGAAAACCGTTTGCAATTGTTCATATTCAAAGCAACCGAATGACAGTTCGCGTGAAATGCTGTCTGAACTGACAGCTTTGATTCGAACCACAGCATTCGTATGAAAAACATGTATACATGCATACAGAATGAATTTGTACGTCGAAATTCAATCGAATTTTTGAGAAGAAAAATTAAAATTATTTTATTTATTTTAAAAAAAGTAATTTTTAAAGAATGACAATATAAAAAAAAATCCAAATAAAATAGTTTTATATTTCTTTTCATAACGAATGAATTCGCATTGTCAAAAATATGACGTTTGGAAGTGAGCAGTATTGGAACGCCCTTGGAATTTGACAGCAGTTCAATTTGTTGATTTCATCGTCACGTTTGTTTTATAATAATGCTGGAAGCTCATTAGCAAGTGAACGAATTGAACAGTGGGAAAGGGTCTTTGTTGTCATTAGTCTTTGTTATGTTCGTTGTTAAATCGCCAGAGCAAAACAATGGATCAAGAATTTTTCGATATTGAAAGTTTGCAGACGAATTTTAAAGCTGCCATCAGAGATGAGACTGATGTTGCGATGGATTTCTATTTGGAAGGTTTCAAAGAGTTGTGCAAGTATGTGTTCAATTAAGTTCCATTCATTATTGATTTTTTGTGATTCAAAGCATTGTCTTTTGTTGTTTAGGTTTTTCCATTTGATGGGATCCGTGTTTGGCTTTGTTAGCAGTGATGTGAAAGCAAAGATTGAAATTCTGGAGATGCATCGACAAAAAGAAAACGCTGAACAATTCGAAACGTTTGCTACGATGATGGAGTATGAAAAGACATCGGCACTTTTGGATAAAAAAGACTATGTGTCAGGCAGTCGCACGCTACTACGATTGCATCGTGGATTAGGTAATGGTTTCCATTCTATCGCTGTAATTGTTCACAGATTAATCAATTTTATCGCTCATTCTAGCGTTTGTACGTGAATTTCTGCTCAAATTGAGTGAGATTGAGGCACATGAAAAGACGACTGGTGTTTGTAAAGTGGCCTATAACGAAACTCTTGCCCAATACCATCCATGGCTTATTCGGAAGGGCGCATTGGTTGCCATGTATACATTGCCGACGCGTGAACAACTGTTCAATAGGGTTTGCCAAGATGTTGAACGATCCATTTCCATTTTGCCTGATGTTTTAGCAGTCTCAAAAACGGTGTACGATCGAACGGAACAGCTGTACATGGACTTCGACTTGCACTCACTGCCATAATATAATAAACGATACGACGTTTCAATGGTGCAACAAATTTTACTACAGTATTTTAAGGCCCCGATAATCTCACGACATTTAATCATTCACCGCCTGTGACGCAATGTTTGAATTGCATTCACATAAAATTATCACGTTTTATCGTTTTATTTAAGTGAGTTCGAAATTATTTTGATAATTGCTCGTTTTTATGTATGAAAAAAAATTGATGTTTTTATTTGAAGAAAACCAGATCATTTGTTCTCCTATGATTATTATATTTGTGATGATAGAAAGAGGTTCGTATTTTTCTTCTCTTTTTTTGTGAATTTCATTGGATTTCCAACATGGTGAAAATTACAACAATTTATCTTCGAGAAATGTGTGTGTTTTTTTTTCAAATTGGTTTCGTTTCCATAGAAAATGCATTATCTGCTATTAATTTATCATTGATAAATTGCTTAATCTAATTGATCGTTCCATTGGTGACTGTAGTATTTTGCGCGTCTTGCATGAAAATATCATTTGTCATCAAGAGACCTGCAAAGGAAAAACCAGACAAGAATTCGTTTATGAATGAAGTTAATTCGGAGCCATGGTAACATGCTTTCTTTCGAAATCTTGTTGTCAACCCACGATTCAACGAGTTGAATCTATTATTACAATGATGAATGGTTTTTTTTTTTGTGTTGGAATCAGCAATCGTCATTGTGTTCAAGTGACCATTGAGTTGTTTCCATTCCTTTAGCACGATTTGTATCTTATCAACATTCATTGTAAATTACCTGCTATACTCGCGTTGATGAAGCAAATGATTGAGCCGGAAATTAATGCACGGACTGAGACAGATGTGATGATACTTCGTTTCTCTGGGCACATCGTACCGAGATTTCCAATCATCATACCGAGTGAGCTTAAATTAGCAAATCCACAGATGGCAAACGTTGTGATTGCAACGCTTCGCTCCTAAAAATGGGTCGAAACGATTCATTTTAAAAAGTTATTCAAACACTTTTTCGATTTCTTGGAATTATTGAGTCGAAATATGTTAGTGTTGGTTGTACTCACTGAAATGGCATGTGCATTTTTCAATTCGCCCAATTTTTTATAAGCTACGAATTCATTTATAATATTTTTTGATGCAATAACAGCTCCGACTTTTTCGCAATCTTCCCATGGAATGCCAATGATGTAAGCCAGTGGAATAAACATTTTGCCGAAGAACCACTCAACGGTCAAGAAATCGTAGCCCACTAGCATTCCAAGCCAGCCAACGACCGCATTCAGAAATGCAACAAACGAAACAAATGCCACCAAATTGGCAATGATTCCAGCAATAAGTTGCACAGCAGCAAAGGCTCCATTCGACGCTGCATCCAATACGGAGTTCTCTTGGCTAAATTAAAATGTTTGATTTTTTTTTAAATTCAATTCTTGATTCGATCATGCTAAGTTTTGCAATCGCACTTACGATTTCTCCATGCTGAATGATTTCGATGTGGTCTGGCTGATTTCTGTTTCGGGATAAATGAGTTTTGAAAATGCGAAAGTGGCCGGTGCTGCCATTACACTAGACGTAATCAAATGAGATGCATCAGCTCCAAAGTTCATATAGGCAGCTAAGACGGTGCCCGAGACTGTTGCAAATCCGGATGACATAATCACATGTATTTCGGACGCAGTCAAGTACTGAAGAAAAAACAATCAAGGCCAATTCATTTTTTTGATTCATTTAAAAAGCAGCTAAAATGTCATTAGCGCCTCACTCTTATGTACGGTTTGATGATCAATGGAGATTCAGTCATTCCAAGGAAAATATTCGCAGCAACTGTCACACTTTCACATAGCGTTGTTCCCATAATTGATTGAAGTAGATTGCCCAATTTTTGGATAATCCATTGCATAGCGCCGTAGTAGTACAATATTGAAACAATGAAACTGAAGAAGAAGATAACGGGCAACACCTAATACAAAATTGATTGGATTCAGTTAAAACACTCGTCTTTCAAGTACTCTTATAGAGAATTAAACGATGAAGATAAAACAAATCTTGATCATACTCACCGAAAACGCAAACACTGCTGTAAATTCCAGGCTTTTGTTACCGTAAACCAAATCATCACCATAGACAAATGAGGCTCCTTTTTTAGCAAAATCAAAAAATACCGCTACCCTATCGCCAAGACATCCAAAAATTTTCCGTCCAATATTCATACGAATACAAAAAATTCCCATCAGAAATTGCAGCGACATTCCACAGATAACTGTCCTCCAGTTTATCTTAATTAATACGTGCACAAATCATCATAATTATTTTATCACAAATAATTTTCTACTTCAAGCGTAACTGTTGTACTTGATTAGCGAGAATTTTGACAGTTTCATCACAATTTTCTTACGCAATGCTTGCAAAAAGTAATTTGACATGTAACTCAAAATTCATACGATTTCTATATTCAACTAAACTTACATGCGTTCGATGTTTAGAGAAAACGAATCCAATGCCCAGAAGAATGACGATTCCAAGGAGTGATCGAAGCCGTTCTGGCGAATCGTACGAGTCAATGCCAATGAAAATACCGAATATTGTGAGTAAAATTGCAACCACGATTAGTTTCATATATCTGAAAAATATTGACGATCAATTTAATTCAACCACGTTTCGAATATCAAGAGGTTATCTTATATGTGTTTGTAATACTTTTTGCGATCGAAAGTTGTAGTGATTTTTCTTGAATATGGTCGAATGGTTTTCGCAATGCTACGTCCGAAGAATCGCTTGATAACTTTGAAGTAAAAGATGAGTGTGTAGGTGAAAACGACCAAGATGAAGAACATGCCATATCCATCACACCACATATTTCCACATTTTGACTCCCATTGTTCTGAAAAATTTCAAAGTAAAACATCGTGTTCAGAGTTTAAACTAATATCAATGATTCCGTGTTTTTATACTGACTGTTTTTAACAAAATAATACGAAGCCCATGCGAAATAAGCACCAAATACAAGATTTATGATGAGTGTTCGAGCGAGTTTAATTTCGGACGAATATTTCTCGGAAAATGTGTTTGGTTGTTCGGCGTAACTGAACTCGCGATCCAGTACAATGGCATCAGTTCTCGGCACTTCGGCAATCGTTTGCAACATCTGTCCCTGGAATTTTCAATCAAACGTATAAATCCATCTTAATTAGCCTTGTATGAATTTTCTAACAAATTACCTGTCCGAAACCATTATTATCCTTGTCGTATGCACCATTCGTATGCCCTTCTCTGTTCATCTCAAAAATAATTTCTTTTTTTCACCACTACTGGAAATAATCACAAATTCCGTTAAAATTCGTGCAACGTTTTGGACAATAAATTTTTTTCGAATGGAACGGTAGTTCTAATCACAATGAGCACATTGCCATCCATAAAACCCGAATCACACGAGTATCAAAAACAATTTATGATGATTGAACGGATTGTTATCGCTTGTAAGAGCAGAAAGTACAATAGCTGCGGATATTTTTCCCCTCACTACCCTTGAATTTTATTAGATTCTGTGATAAATTGAGAGAGATAAGCCCGTAGCAACATCAAAACACACCAAAATAGATAAACAAAGTTTATTACAGTTCCGGACTTAATTGTATACTGATAATGGTATCGGTATCGGTAGAGTTTTCAAGTGTCAAAATACGTAATTAAGTTTTCAAAAAATGCGAAGAAAAAAGTGGGCTATACATCGCCATAGATAACGTGTGTGATAATTACACACATTCTAGTGACATGCGTCGTTTAAGTTGAGTAATTAGTTTTCAGTGCATACGTTGGCTAATTATGTTCCCGAAGAGTTTAATCACTTAACTGTTAACCAATCGGAATTCAGTGGTCACTTACCCAGCCCCTAGAAGAATTTCATACATGTTGTTGATCTTTCATTGTTGGAAAGAATGTGAAATTTATCAATTCTTAGTTTTTGTTTGAATCAGTTCATGTATGTGTCTAAATTAACATGCATACGAAGAAAAATGTGCAGGTGTAAAACTGGTATTTGTGGTGGTGCATGGTACATCCAGTATTTTACATAAAAATCTGTTGAATTATTCAAAAGAATGTCAAGTTTATTTCGCCGGTCGTATATGGAGGCTGACACACTTTCAACAGAGATATCTTATTGCCTTGCTCAAAACAGAAACAAAATGTAAATAAACAAATGTTGCTTTAAATTCCGATGCGTGTTTTATTTTCATGTTTGACGTCATCAATTCTAACCTAGGTAATTGAAAGTTCATTGCGTTTTCGGAACGAAGTCGATGACTAAATCCGGTGACATGTCTAGTGGCTATTTATGAGCCACATAAACTTGTTTGCAGTAAGTAAGTAACAGCGAGCAATAAATCCAGCCTGTAAAGGGAAATGGCATTCAACAAGTTGTTCATAAAAAGAAAAGCCTGTGTTGTTTTTTTTTTCCTTACATTTTCATGTTTAAGTTCACTTTCATAGTATATATTTTTTAATCAGTAATTTTTCCTTTGTTTTTAACAATGATTAATAAATTTTTAGTGTATACAAATACAAGTAACACTCAACCAGATTTAAGCTGTCGCGTCTAATTAGATTAATATGTATGTGTTTTGTATGTGTGTGTGTGTGGTTGAAGAGTTTATCATGCAGTTTGCCTTGCTGTGGAATTGTTTTTTGAATGTGATTGATGCCAGAGAAAAAGATGTCGATAATTGCAATAATTTTACATTTTTTAATTTTTTTTTTTTGTTTCTGTATGTTCCACGATCTCACCACATGTGTTGAAAAATTTCATTACATTTAAAATTTACGATAAGTTTAGGAAATGCATGACAGTTTCGCGATTACGAAGAATTTGCTTTTTTTTTTAAATTTATATCATAAAATCTAACGAGTAAAAAAAAATGAAAGAAAAAAGAAAAAAAAAACACTTTAACAAAAATCAATAAAAATTGGAAATGGTCAAATGTTTAATAATAGCGGTTGTTGTTGTTTATTGAATGCAATGTCTCTCTGGGTGTGTGTTGTTTGCTTGTTTGATTCTTTTTTCTCCCTCTATTTCTCTAAAATATGGTTTAAATTATCCATTTCGAAGTCGACGCGACAGTTGAAATCAATGCTTAGGTTCTATTCTCGAAATGATTTCTAAATTTTTCTTGTGTGTTTTTTGTTTCGTACACGTTATCTCAATTTTTTAATGCATAATTCGTTAATTTGGATGCTTTTGTTGTTGTTGTTGTTTTTGCAGAGAATTTTTTTAAATTTTTATTGAATCAGAATTTAGTTTTGTTCCACAATGCCGATTCTTAAGTTAAACTTGTTTCATTTTTTTCATTTTTTTCTCCTCTTTTAAAATAATCGTTAATTGTTGCATGCTGGTTTTGATGGTTTTGTGTGTGTGTGTTTTTTTTTTAAATTTGTTTTGGATTGGTTTTTCTTTTCATGTGTAACTCTTGGTTACTTTCTCTTCTCATTATTGATGGTTTCATTGTTTTGCGCCCGCATCAACAGAAGCAGTTGCACTCCGATCGATGTCGTTGATTCAGAGCACGAATTTTCCTAGAATCAATCCGAAAAGAGCCATTGCAATAGCGATGGCAATATACTTGACTGGCAGCTGCTGTTGGGCCAACTGTGGTGGTGAATATGGATTTTGAAACGCTGCCGATGTTTCCTTCTTTGAATTCATATCGTTAAGCATACGTAATCGCAAGTTTTCCTCCTGCAACAAGAACAAAGAACAAAAACATTCGTTTTTTGTGAGCTTCTCCGTTTATATTAAATTAAAAATTTTGTGCAACAAAACGAAACTTACTTTCAGTTGCATGTTTTCTTGTCGTAGCTGACTTTCGCCATCACGTAATTGCCGTACTTCGGCCGAAACCCGTGCATAATCGGATGAATCGCGTGCCTGCAAATAATAAACGAAAATAAATTAACAAAATGAGTTGAAATTGAAATATTGCAAATAAAATGATTGCGACGCATACCTTATCATCAGCCGTGCCGGAGCTGCCAGTAGCATCGCTGCCGCTAGTCGTATTTTGCTTCAATTTAGCGTCTTCTGAAGAATTTTAGAGAGAAAAATTTGTGTGTAAATATGAGGTAAAGTGGTTTGAATAATTGCGGCAATTCGATGATACATGCACAGTATATGGATCAGTGTCTCTTTTCCCAAATTCTCTTTCATATATGTATCATATTCGTTCACAAACCGCATTACATTATCTGACGTACCTTCAGTAGCTGATGTTTGTTTCTTATCATCCGGGAATTCGAATACGCATCGCAATTTGGAGTCCATTAATTCTTCCGGTTTCACCTCTTTCCACTGTAACAAACAAAAACACATAAAATCATCTCTTACTCTTGAAATATGACACAACACAATTTCAATTCGGAATTACTAATTGTTCGGCATTGAACTCGCCATCTGGAGCGACAAGACTTTGGACCATAAACTTGTGTCTGTTCTTTTCATTCGGATCAAAATCAAATGGTTGTAAACAAACTGTGAACGAAAATTCAAGCGGAAATGAATTAATCACTCTGGTCGAATGTTATCGCAAATGTTAGGTTTTTTTTCACAGTAAATTTCGGCTGTTTCACTTACTTCCAACTTCTATAAAATTGTTTGGCTCTAGCAAACCGGAATTTGGACGTACACAGTACCGTTTCGGGGCCGTCGTTTTGATTTTGAATAGAATTGGTTTATCAGTTGGATTTTTCAACAACATATGTGACGTGATGGCCTGATTAAATGGACCTAAAATTGGAAAGAAAGAAAAAATCATGCATATGGTTAATTGTGAATGAGTTTTAATTGAGATTTGTTCGATAATTGCTCAGACGAATTATTGGATCAATTGTATTTCGTTGGGTTTAAATAGATTTGTTTTCTAAGTGGCGAATGACAATTGTACGAATGAATGGGAATCGTTTTAATCATCGCATCGCAACTATTTTAAGAATAATTCAGGGGAAAAGAACATAATCTCGATGGCGCCAAGAAGTTTTTATGTTCTTATCACCCACAGAAAACACATACGCACAGCGATGTGTTCAAGTGAATCATTCTCAGCATATCATTGAGTCTCTCATGAAAATCAATGGCGTTAATAAAATTCCCATCGAAATCGCTTCCATTCTGTTGTTAAGTGCATTTCATTCGGATCACGGTGAGTGTGAGCGTCAACGACAGGGTTTTCTCCGACCACTACAATTCGATTGGCGTACAACTCAAGTCACGAACTTCAGCTGTTTTCACACCACGTAACGCCAACGCTCATTTCTTCACCATGCTCATTCCGTAACAATGTTTCGGTTAGTCTCGTTTGCATGTCCACTGTTTGCTTCCTCGTCCGAATTTATCGATTCCGGAGCGATACGGAAAACAGAGATTTGGCAGTTGCTAGTTTCAAGTTTGCGCACACCAAATCCCCTTGGTTTCGGCTGAATGGTGAAGTGTTTCGGTTGACGGTTTAATAAAACAAACAAACACCAATCAAGTGGATTTGCTTCGTTCTGTTCGCATCGACGCTTGTTACTTTTGTCTGATTTGAAAATAATACGTATCAGCAGTAATAACATGTAATTTCGGTTCAACGAAATGTTTGTGAACATAAATCGAAATTTGCTCGTCCTGTGAGGCACGACCGTCTTATTTTTATAATACTGTGCACAGAACCGTTTGATTTCATGAATCATACACACATTTCGACGAAACGAAAATAGAGCAATCGATTAATTAAACAGCGGGTTTTTTTTACAAGCGGTTCATGTGGCAATTCCAGATAGAGCTGAATGTCAGTACGCCACTTGCTGCGAACGAAATGCGAACACATTTCTTTCTTTTCGCCTATTTATAAACAAACATCGCAATAATAAATAATCATAATTTCTACTTGAATACACATCATAATATCCACGGAATGCCGAAGATGTGCGCGCACGGTGAAAGCGAAGCAACAACAAAAACAAAAAATCAGCGAACATTCGATCGGCCGCACGAAATAGAAGAAAGTCATTCCCAAGCATGAAGCAAGATAGAGCCAAACAAGTGTACGCGATCCAAAATAGACGGAATGGAATGATGATTTAATAATTATATAAAAATCTAAACGTGTCGTATGGAAGGCAACCGTCGATGACACACACTCGTTCTGTTCTCGGCGTGTATGTGTGTGCGTGTGCATCTGTGTGAGTTTGCGGCACAATGCGGCGAAACTGTTGTTTGCCATTCGGCAAAGAACTTCAATACGAACCGAAAATTGTGCGAATAAATATTTATTTTGTCTATATATCGTGAAATCGAAGCGATTTTCAATCTCCTTGGGACTGTATTTCAAGTCCGTACAATGACCAGCATTGTTCTGTTGTGCTGTTGTGATTTGTGTGTGTTTTTTTTTGTCCATTCGAACTGGACAAATGTGACGCAATGCAAACAACATAGAATTAATCCCAAGAACGATAAAAATGCGCACTAAAAATCAAGTTACACTGTAAATTACTTGATGGGATGACGTGTACTCTAGTGTTCTAACAATTATATTCGTTTTATTCCTCTGGGTGCTCTGGGGAGCAATGGTCGAATCACAAGCAAATTCTAATTGAATTCAATTGTAGGTTTTTACGGGTAATTTACATTCAATCGATTGAAAAAGTCATATTGAATGGTGCCAAAATGGATCGAAGACACCATTTGAATAACGAATGACTATTTTATTTTTTCGATCGAAAAATGTGAAAATCGCACCGAATGTGATGCGAATTTGTGCATGTTTTTCACCGAAATACGAAAAAAAAATGAACAACAACAACGTCGAAAACTTCGTTCTTGTATAGCGATTTGCATGTGAAGCAATTTATGAGCGGCAATTGTAGCGGTATGCCATTTAGTGTCAATTCGAAATGAGCTCAGTTTGAGCATTAACAGCGACACACAGACACATAACGGCCGAAATTTTGCATGCAGAGCCTCTGAATCGTTCTCAAAGCGCAATAAAATACACAGTCACCGAGTCACCGTATGTGCGCGAACGAAACGAAACGATTCGGGTGACATGTCGACAAGAACGAGACGCTTCCACACGCATATATCCGTTGAACTGAAAGCCGCCGCAAAATATGACGACAATACACTTTTTTCTCTTTCTCTCTCCCTCTCGGTCTCTTGGCTTTTTATTGTTTGTATATTTTAAGCAACGTCAAGTTTTTTCACAAAAATTTCACATTTTCATCGGAATATCTCATTTTATGAATCCACTGTTTAATCGCAGCAATTCAGTCTCTTCATTTTTGTACGGAAAATCTTTTATTATTCGTGCGAAATATGCTTGGGAATCGCTTCATCATCATCATTCGAAGAAAAGAAAAAAAAAAAGAAGAAACGAAAAAGATGGAACGAAATAGAGTTCGAGAATTTTTTTTTTTTTGGCAAAACAATAACTTCCCATCGCGCCTGACACACATATTTTCTCACTCGTCGTTTTTCTCATGTTACGTGTTCTTTTTTTCGTTCTTTTTCTTCATTTATCAGCAATTCGTCTGAGTTCACGGCTATTAATTGCACTTACCACGAAATTTCAACTCATGTTCTGGTTTAATAATTAGCAACTGCTCTTTCTTTTCCATTTTGTTAAAAAAAAAATTTATTTCGATGGCAATTGGTGTTGATGTTGATTAAAATTAATTTATAAACTTTTCGATTCTGGTTTTTTATTCGATTTATTCTCTTCTTGTTTTTTTTTTCCTCCTATTGCAGGATTAGAGAGAGAGTGCGATTCTTATTTGGCAAATGTTGAATACTGTATGTGAAATTGAGCACGAACGAAAATGTAAAACGAGCAACGATGAATTGCACAGAAAAACTTGTACACACACATCAATTTCATGTAAACGCATGCGTCATTTTTCCAACATGGAAGCCCAAAATACGTTTCGAGCTAGTCGATTCGATGGGTTGCCCGATTCCATTCACCACTCCGAATATTTGAATTTTTTCTCTTCAGCGAAAATGTTTTTTTTCTGAATTTTCGTCTACCTAATTGCCGGATAGTATTTTCTGTGCCGTTTTTATTTGCTAATTAGAAATCGTTTTACTTTCTTTTTGCGAATATTTTCGGGCACAAACAGAATGCAAATTGGCAAATTTGCTATTTCGAATTTAACGTACGCAAAACGCAATGACGTCTTGTTTTATGTAATTCCAAGTTTTGTTATTCGCTGAAACGTCAAACAACGTTAGCCCAAAAAATACATTTTCGATCTCATCAAACACATTTTTCCGTTCGCAAACATGAAATCCAATAACATATTGACGAGAAAAAAAATCGGATAAAGACGGAGTTTTGTATTTTTTTTTCTTCAATATTATGCACAGCAAAATTCTATTCAGTTAAAAATTGATTCGTTATGAAAAACTAAATTGAAACGTGCAATTGTTTCATTACCGAGGAATTTCTTCTAAAACAAATGATTTGTTATATCTTGATATCGTATTGGAATGAAATTCTTTCTATTTTTGGACGAAAGTTGCATTTTCTATGGATAAATAGTCAAAATTCCTATTTATTCATAAATGCGCGACTATAAAATGGTTAAGGAAAATTGTAATTGAATTTAAATAAAAACATTGCTTAGAAAAAGAAAAAAAAAATATTTTGTCAGAAGTGGGATTTGAACCCACGCCTACAGATGTAGACCAGAAGACTCATTCTACATGAGCAAGACGATAAATCTTGAGTCTGGCGCCTTAGACCGCTCGGCCATCCTGACAGTTGAATGTTACGTGATTGTGTACGATGTGGTGAGATTACAAATATTCTGCAATCAAATGCAAATGAGCTCATCGAGCACGTGGTGCAGGGCATACTGTGTGTGAATGAAAACGGTTTACAATGATGTTGAGCTTGTCGTAATCGCGCTCACAACGTAAAAGTTCTATTTTTGTATCAAGCATGCTTGAGAGTTATAGCAATCGTGAATAGATACTAAACGTATGCGGTTCGTGTAAGACCGTATTGCTCTAAATGCACGCAAATTATCGAAAAATTACTTGCACGTTACGTTTATTTGAAGGTAACTCTCGTGCAAAGTTGAATCCGCACCTTTCCCTTTTTTCTAATAAATATTCTGGTTGTGGTTTTACACATTTGTTTCATTTTGCATGGACAACAATCATTAAATGCAGCTATAATACATCGAATTCAAGGCGTGCTCTCCGTAATTTGTGGCTTTGTCGTTAAAAAAATATCATCATCGTTTCGAGATTTCATTTCGAAAAATTGAATTGTTTCTGCAAGATTCACTTTGAAAATTTAAAAATGGAACAACTTTTCTACTATCTCTAAATGGAGATTTTTCCAAATAAAATCTCATTCCGTTTGAGTTGAGTTATTTGTTCCACTCAATTCCGCTGCGAAATGTTCAATTCAATTGAGACAAAAGTAATTGTGAGTGAGTTTTGACTTCAATTGAGAACGACTCAATCACGAAACTGTTTCGATCAAATTTCAGTACCGCCAATTGACCGACACATAATAAATTCTATAAAGTGTTAATTGCCTCTAGCAACGATTAGATGCAACTGCACGATCAATCTCAAAAACAAAATCGGTCTAACGTGAGAAACCAATTCGTCATAACAATCTAATAGCAAGCATCTGCAGCTGCTCCAACAGCACTGGCATCTCTAATTACGGTTAAAATCATTATTTGCACTTGCATTTTCAACGGCGAAAATCGAAGGTAAACAAATTAGACGAAAGAAAATGCGTATTTAGGTGTGGAGCCGACATTGTTCAAGAATTGGTATTCAATGCAAATGTTTTACGAGTAACGCCTTTATGATAGATGCTCTTTGTGAGTCGAATGTGACCGCACAAGCAAGTTGTATGAAAAGTCCAATTTGCAATAAAAAAAATTATTTCTACAAATTGTTTACTGTCTGAGATGTTTTAATAAATTAAAACGTCGATTCGAGATGATAAATGAAATTGTGGACAATGAAAAATCTCTTTCGCCGATTTATTCCACTTACTCATCATGAAAACTATGATCCAAGTGGGAAAAAACACGAGCATTGGAAAAATTCTATTCACGTAGCGCTAGTTAATCAGTTCAATCTCATTTAAAATGCACAGTGACATGCACGCGTGATGATGATGATGATGATGATGATGACTGGACGAGTGTGGGTTGAATATACTCGAAAGGCACAATAACGTCGACCTTGACTTTGTTCTGTCTTTACTTTCAACTTTGCCTTGTACCGGAAAATCATTGTGTGTACTACTTTGTTCCGCTCGAAATTTGCCGATTCAATACCTGGAACTGCATACGCGTTGGTATTTACAAGTTGTTTCTTTTTCTTTCCTTAGCAATAACAAGCCACGACGACAATTACCGCAATGTAAGCGAATAATTTCTTTACAGCGTTCATGTTTACAAATTGTCAACAAAATTATGTAAATCACATAATAATATGAAAACGATTCGATGACAATGCCTCTCCGAGTGCGCGCACGATCATAACAGATCCCAGCGCACAAGTGGGGTGGTGTCTTTCTTTACGAACAAACAACGCTTTAGATCGCATTCGTGAATCTAACGTCTTCATTGTTGGTCGATCTGCTTTGCACTCGTGATTTCTTTAATTTTTGATTCATACAGTGAACTAATCACGAAAATCGAAAGAAACTTTAAAAAATTCTGTAAAAAATCCCTTGATATCGAAGAAAATAAAAATAAAAATTCGTGTGAAAAATCAACGAAAAAAAAAGATATGCAACTTTTATGTGAATGAAAATTGTTAATTTTTCAAAGATGAAGCTATACGTTATGATTAGTGTTATTTTATTGTGCCTGATATCGGTGTATCGAGCAGACAGTTCGGTGGATTTGGCAACGTGTGAACGTGATGTTGGAAATTGTGAAAATTTTTCCTTTCGTCGAACACAGCAAAATGTGTCAAGTGTGAATACTAATTCATCCAATCAAAAAAGTCTGAAATCGGTTGCTCTAAAAGATCTTGGTCTCGTCGAAAAGCAAATTATGCTTGAGCAAACAGATATTCAGGAAAATGGTAATTTTAACACCACTAATTGCGCGCAGCATGCGTTCCATCAGAGTTCATCGCCTAATAAATGGCAAATTGAGGCGATTAAATTCAATAAACAGAATACTTTGATCGCGACAATAGTCAAATTTAGTGCGCAAAAAAAAGATGGTTGTAAACAAATTGTGATAATTTTCGGAAAATATTTCATCGGCATACATTTATGCCAATTTATTCAGCTAAGCGCTTGATTTCCGCGTTCGCATTAGATTTTGGTGTTGTGCAAAACAGCCAAGTGTGATAATCAACTCACCCAATTATATGCACTTTCGATTTTCTATTACACTTCAATTTCTGTGTGTCACATATACAACAGAGACTCCGTCGTTTGCGGTGCATAAATGGAATATTACGCAATCATCAAATATGAAACAATGAGTCAATCGTTTTGTTTCGTCACATCAGCTTTTCATCCATTCAGCGAATTTTTAATCGGAACAGAATTTTCGATAAACAGTCGCGGTTGTGTTGTCTAGCTACTGTACGACGGTTTTGATCGCTTTCAGTAGTGAGCCACTATCACGATGGCCAAAATATTTCAACGGAATATCAATCACGCGATTCGTTTATTGGCAATTGTACACGACTTATGCTTTCAATGCGCGCGACTAAAGTTTGAAACAATGGACATGACACAAATATCTAATTAATTGCCGCATGATCGAATCAATGCAAATCGCCGTTCTGAATATAACGTATTTTTTTTTTAAAACTGATTCGTTTGTTGTTGTCTACGTAATAAATGGCAAATTCGCACCTTCCTCAAGATAAATGCCGAAAATGTGCCGAAAAATTGTACGTACTTGACCAAAAAAAACACTGCGTTGATAAGGAACTGAATGTCAACCAAAAAAATGGCCAATCGATATGAATTTCACAAGGATTCGTAGCACCCAGACATGAAAATTATGAAACAATTATGACTTATATAAATCAATAGCAACTTTGTAACACCAACTTGATATTCAATTGCCATTTTATTCGATTGATGAATGCTAAGCACATAAATCACTGCATTTTATGTGCAATCGCTGCGAATTTATTCGACAGCATTCAAAGAAATTGGTATAAATTATCGGATTTTTTTTTCTTCAAATTTTCTAATTAAAAACCGAACGATGACCAAAATGCATTTTGATTGTGATTTAAATACATTGTCACATGATAAATCGATCAACGATCTGTGTGCTTGATTCAAACAGCATTCTATTAGCTATTCAGTTAATGGCCGTTTCCTTTAGTTGAATAAGAATGAATGGGTATGCCGCTCTATTGGCGATGATAAAAATGGATTCTCCGTGATGTTGGTTGCATTTTAAGTGATAAATAACCATTTGATTCCTTTTGTTTCGTTGCAGTTTTTCTAGAAAACATCGCCAGCAAAATGTCACGACTGACTCCTGCGTTCGATCCGTCACGTAGCCACAATACGTCGGCTGCATGCAAAATTCACACTCGACAGTTTCTCGATGCACTGAGCCGCTTAGAATTGTGGGCATACAAAAGTAATTAGAGTTGTTGTTTCTTTTAAATATATCAGCAAAAATGCACTTTCGTTGCTGCTTTTGGGTTAGAACACGCAATTTGAAAACAAGATTTGATACAATCTACTCGCTGGTTTCAATGTGCAGAAGGTCAACAAAAAACAGTGGTTAAAAAAAAGAGAACGACTAAATTGAGGTTTATGAGTGTTTAACATTTAAAAATTGAAGTGATTTTTGATTGAAATTCGCGAGAGAAAAAGAAGCAAATAAAAAATGTTCTTCTTGATCATCCACAGTGCACGATGCATCTGCAAAAATTCCATCGGGCGTCTTAAGCGGGAATATCAATCAGCTGGGCGATTTTGACGAGTGCTTGAATGTGAAGGCGCCGAACAACGAGTTTACCGGCAAATATTGCTTGACCTACGTCCAAATGACCGTGCCCGACTATTTGCCAAAGATGGGAAAAATTCGCAAACTGCTGCATTCGCACGATGCATTTGTGAACGACTTTGATGACGTAAGTATAACACACAACATGTTTTTTTGTTTGTTTGTTTTAAATCCAATTATGGTCAAGTTCAAATGTTTTTTCGTCGCTTAAAATTTTCAAATAAACTCCACTCAAAAAAGGCCATGTTGTGGCTATTTTACTTTCGTCTGGTGAGTTGTTTTCGCAATTGAGTGATGGCTAAAGTGAACATAACATTAATTCAATTGAGATTGAAACTATGTGATGTGATTTTAAAATTAATTCGAAGTTTTTTATTCAGTGCTCTCATTCATCACCAAAACCACTCAAATCGAATACGATTCGATGTAAAAATAGACTCGCGCTACAAAATGAGTGACATTTTTATACACGAACTGAAGGCATGCTTGAAACTATCTAACATTGTTGTTATTGCTCCACGTGCTTCGGCTGTCTATTTGATATGCATTTGAGTGACTTCGCAAACGCACAACTGCGCAATTAAACGTCTAACATTCAACTGTCAGGATGGCCGAGCGGTCTAAGGCGCCAGACTCAAGATTTATCGTCTTGCTCATGTAGAATGAGTCTTCTGGTCTACATCTGTAGGCGTGGGTTCAAATCCCACTTCTGACAAAATATTTTTTTTTCTTTTTCCAAGCAATGTTTTTATTTAAATTCAATTACCATTTTCTTTTACCATTTTATAGTCGCGCATTTATTAATAAATAGGAATTTTGACTATTTATCCATTGAAAATGCGACTTTCGTCCAAAAATTTGGGGCATTAGAATTTCATTCCAATACGATATCAAGATATAACGAATCATTTTAATTGGTGGCATATACAACTGATGATGATTCAATCAGTCACCGGAAACATAGTAATAAACTTTCATCATTTATCTCAAATAAATGCATTTCATCATATCATGAAATAAAAATGTTACTTATCAAACAATCATTGTTCAATCGTCTTTTGAAAAATGTTGACGTGATCAATGAAATTGAGTCATTTACCATTTGAAACTAAAATGAGCATAATAAGAAACTTCAAATAGCACCGTATCACATATGCAGTCTTATCAGACGGCGAATTCAAGAAAAAGAGTTGAGCGCGAATCATTTGTTTTGGAAGAAATTCCTGGGTAATGATTCAATTGCACGTTTCAATTTAGTTTTTTATAACGAATAAATTTTTAACTGAATAGAATTTGGCTGTGCATAATATTGAAGAAAAAAAAAATAGAAAACTCCGTCTTTATCCGATTTTTTTCTCGTCAAGATGTTATTGGATTTCATGTTTGCGAACGGAAAAATGTGTTTGATGAGCTCGAAAATGTATTTGGGCTAACGTTGTTTGACGTTTCAGCGAATAACAAAACTTGGAATTACAAAAAACAAGACGTCATTGCGTTTTGCACTTCTGACAAATTTTTTTTTTTATTTTCTCCGTTCATTTTAACTGAATGGGAATGCGAATTTTTGAACAGTATTTTTTAATATTAAAACTGTAAATATTGTATCTACAATTATTATTTCAGTCATTTTAAATTGACTCATTGGCTATAAATTATGTTAAATTGTTGTAAACGTTTCTTTTCCGCAGATAACGAATTTTTTGTTTGCATTTTTAAATGTTTTATTTTTATCATTTGCAGCCTGGTCATCGTGTACCACGTCTTTCAATCATACAATATGCGCTGTGTGTCCCTTCAACATGCACAAACGTAGACGTCGAGAATTCCGTGAATGAATACTTGAAAGATTTTGTCAGCGGTACAGCGATTGAATACCAACTTCGCGTTGAGAATAGAATGTGTCAAGTGAAAAAAGACAACGTTTGGAGCCAAAACACTAAGCTCACCGTGTAATTATCATGATTTCCGACGAATTTATTTCTGTCTATTGAACTTAAAGACATTTTCTCCTCTTTTTAGCATTTTCTTTGCATCCATAGTAGCAATAGCCGCGGTTTCGACTGTAATCGACCTTTGCTTCACCAAACCAAGTAAATGTGTTTTCACAATTTTCACTCTAATTTTTAATACATAATTTGAAACTCACTTTTATTAGACGAGCTATTGGTGTCGTTTTCCCTGTGGAAGAATTCTAAAGCACTTTTCAACTTGGATCGAAATCCAAGCGATGTGACTACAATTCACGGCATTCGATTTATTAATGCAGCACTTTTGTTGATTTCACATAAGTCCATGGCAAATTTTTACAATCCGTACGTGAACCGAACGCAAATGATTGAGGTGAGTGTTTCATGTTGCCTATGTTTCTACAGTAATGAAGGGCGTTTAATTCATAAAAACATCACATTCATTCAAACATTCAAAATGCTAATTGAAAGATTGATCCAATTATGAACCATTTTTGGTTTCTTCTAAAATGACATAAAAATGCTAGGATATTGGCGAATATTTATCGGTAATTGCAAGAGCAGCTGCCATTTACACGGATGCGTTTATCATGCTAAGCGGTTTATTGACATCATACGCGATCATTGGCCGTTTGAAGAACAATCAGTCACCTCGCATTGGACAGGAGTACATTAGCCGATTTATGCGCATTGTTCCAACACTTGGCGCTCTCATTCTATTCTGCACATTCATTCTACCCGAACTTGGAGCCGGGCCACAATGGAATCTTGTGGTCAACCAACATGCTGATATTTGCAAACAAAATTGGTGGAGAAACTTCCTTTTTGTGCATAATTACTTTGGATTCGAAAAAATGTGCTTAACTCACACACATCATCTGGGTATCGACACCCAACTTTTTGTACTTTCACCAATTTTGATCCTAATTCTATGGAAATGGCCAAAAATGGGATCAATCGGTTTACTTTCGTTGGCTGTATTCAGTACTGGCGCTAGATTTTATGTAACCATTGCACATCAACTGTCGAATTACGTTTACTTTGGCGCTTCGTGAGTTTTGTTTTTCTTTCTTCCAATCTGTGTTTCAAAATCGAAAATACGTTAGAATTTCACCGAAACCAATTTTTCAAAATGGATTTTTTTTTATTAATCTGATAATTTCCATTTGCAGCATAAAGCAACTGTTTCGAACAGCTGATTTGATGTACAGTATGCCCGTTCATAGAGCGACCATTTATATATTTGGCATCTTCACTGGATATGCAATGCGAATGTACAAACATGTTCGTCTGACTAAAGTGAGTAAAAGCCATACTTGAATTTTGGAATTTTACAAGGCGTTTGGTCGCTTTGAAAATCGGAAAAAAAATTCCAAAGTAGAGAAAAAAAAATTGAAACCAATATTGAAGAAATTTTTTCACTGTTTTCAGAGCCAATTATTTTACGGATGGTCAATCAGTATCCTCATGCTGTCGATTGCATTGATTGGACCGGCAAAGATGGGAAACATAAACTACAAGTACAATCCATATGATGCGGCCATTTATGCTGCATTCAGTCCGATGTCATGGTGCACAATTTTTGCTTGGATCATCTACACAACACACATCGGCCACTCAAGTAATTCGAAATACTTTGATTCACATTTTGAATTAAAATACACAATCAATGTAAAAAATTCCACTTGTATCGGAACCATTCAATGAATTTCGGTTTTTTTTTTTCAGCGATAATCAGTAATTTTCTCTCGTGCCGGCTGTTTTTGATCACAACACGTCTTGCGTACGCCGTATATCTCACACAGTTTCCGATATTTTTCTACAACGTTGGAACAACTAGACACTCGGGACATTACAATTTCATTACGTCAACGGTATTTTGCCCCCTCTGAATCAATATTGACGTCAACACATTTAATTATAACATAAATAATTTCCTTTTTTGATTTCAGGGCAACATATATGAAATTGTTTTCATAATCGTGATATCTGCCGTTCTCACTCTGTTGTTCGACACACCATTCCAGAATATTAAAAAATATATGTTTCAGAAGACAGAGACTAAACCAATGATAAGGAATAACAACCATAAAGAACGCATTGCAGGAAATAAAGACGATTAAGATTTAAATTATAGATTAAAATAAGTTTATTTAAAATATTATATTGAATCCAATTAGATTAAGGAGAAGAAAAAAAAATGTGCGCAAAGTTCATTGCAATCTTTGTCACAAATTGCGCTGTTAAAATTGATACTTAATAAGATTTGGATGTGAAACGATGTTTTAGAAGTAAATAAAGTTCCATGATAAACGTTAATAGACAGCATACTGCCATTGCACTGGCAAGGTAACAGCCCAGGAAAATTGTAGCTGATCTGAAAATAAAAATGGAAAAAATTTAATTAATACGTTTATGACGAATATAAATGTTTTAAACGAATGAAAGAAAACTCTGTGCGAATTATGTTAAAACTTACTGAAAATGATTGAAAGCGCCACAGCAACTGTACGGTGCAAGAATGCTGACTTTGAATATCCGAAAGATTTCAATATTACGACAGATTGTTGTCACCGACAAATTGATTCCGGATAGAAGGCCAAATGATGTCAAAATGATTCCGAGCAAATAGTATTTCAGGTTTTGTCCGTTGATGATACAGTTTAGCCAAATGCTTGTGTGGCGCTGGTGCCACTTTGGAAATGGGTTTTCTGTTTGATCATCAGATTGATCGTTCTCTGAGGTATTGCTCTTTTCGGTTTCGTCTTTATTCGAATCAGTCATCAGTAAGCTGTATTCGGGTGAGTTTTCGAGTTCGCGGCGAATATCAGCATATTTTGCTGCCTTGCGTCGCGTCTGGAATACGAAGTACGTTTATTTTTTAAATGAAGGCAACGTCAATAATCTGTATTTAAAAACGAAAATTATTTTTACAATCCTTCCGATTCTGATACAAAATTATAATTTTGATTAGATAACCCAAGATTGCTTAATAGGTCATCGTAAATATATTGCATGGGCACTATCGATGCGTTCATTTGTGTGAGTGCGATTGTGTAAACGACAATGCTCGTGTTCAATATGTGTACGATGACAGCTTAGAGCATTCCACGCGTAGAGGCGTCTTGGCGTCTTATGTCAAATCTTTCCCATGTATATGTATACGAAGAAAGTGACCTTGTATAACCCATTCGATATCAATGTAAATATTATTTGTCGTCCATTTCTACGTGCTTGTTTTCGGCGTACAATGCCACCATACCTTTGCTATCAGTATACGTTGGAGCAATAGAATGTCTACAACTGTGTAAACACTTTTTTTTTGGCTATGTTCAATAAATGCCATTGATCCTTATACGTTGTCATTGGTCTGATTTTCAAATTTGAGAGAAACTGAAACTGTTCCGCCATTGAGTCGCCTTAAATATTCTAGATATTGGAATTAATCGTCAAGGAATAGCCAAGAACTCAATATTATGCAAAAAAAATGGTTTATGATGATCGAATGAGTTGTAGATTTTGGAATTTACAATTAAATTCGAGTCGAGAGATGAAATCACTTTTACTTTGCACGCCTGCGATTATAGAAAAAATATGAAAATTTAAAATTTTTGTCGGATTAAAAAAATACATTCGCTATCAGGGTGTGCCATGAAATTCAAGAATTGATAAAATTCATATCTCAGCCATGAAATGATTTTCCTTTCAAGTAAAATAAATATGGAAACTTAAAAAGATCGTTCGTAGTACTGTCAGTATTACTTTGCCTTTTAACGTCGACACTTGTTCTGAACAGAAATTTCAATTGTAAAAGAAAGTGTTTAATTTTATAGGTGTTATACATGACCATAATTCAAATCCATTTTGATATAGTAAAATTTACTTACCATATAGAAGAAAAGTAGTCCTGCTAACATGCTAACATTGAATAAATAGAGTTCAATCTTTTTCGTGTTTGCTGCCCGAATTTGTTGAAGCGTAGAATATTGCAGTAAAATCCAAAAACTGATGACAGCAGAAAGGGCACACACAGAGAAATATTTCGAATGGAGCTTAAATCGTTTACAAATCTCTTCCGTCCAAATCACTACGCAAATCCAAATAAGTGTAACTCCGGTTGCGTAATAAATATTTTGTGTTGCAATTGCAATCGACGCAGGGAAAATGAGAAACGACAAAAGAATGGAGCAAACCATTTTAGTTTGTTACACTAATTAATTTATCAAATTGTCGAATTTCGTTTTTTTCAAGAGCTGTTTCTGCTTTGAATTAAAGAAAAATGTGGTGTCATCAATTCAATTTCAAAAACTGACTCTGAATTTGATAATCTGTTCTTGAATTTTGCATATTTTACAAACACAACCAACACATCGATCCAATGAAATGTTGCATTCTGTGAATTTGCATGATCAAGCGGTACTTTTGTTTTGAGACTACATAAATAATTATAATCTAATTGGAAGAAAATCATTCAAAATACCTGTACAAATATTAAATGAAAACATTTTTATTTACTTCGCCGTATTTACTCAACTGGTCGCCCGAAAAGTATTTTTACTCAAGTAACAAGCACAAACAATCGCATATCATGAGCAATGGAATCGTTCGGAATAGCCAACGTTTCAGATAAAACGTGTGCATTTTGCAATCTTTTTAAAAATCAACCTGTTCGCTGTAAATGAAAAGAATAACACAATGAAAGCAATGAAAAGTTTCAACATTTATCACCATACGCAAACGTTCACCTCAACATTTTCTTAATTTCAAGCCAAAACCAACAGTAAAATTACCAGAATCAAATAAAAGCATTCATTCTATACAAGATTTACATATCAACACAGTTCGATGCGTGTAAAAAGTTCCATTGTTTATTGAAGTCCACCTATTTAAATGGAAATTAGTTTTTAGATTTTTATCACAACAATCATATCCAATATGACTCACATTCGTTTTATTTGCCTATTCACAATTTGTTTCGAAATTTCTCTTGACATGTCTCAATACAATGATTTGTAATTTTGAAAAAATAGGCCTCTAGGGGATATTACCTCTCGCGAATGTGACCAATGCATTTGCAAATCGCATATGAATTATAAATATCAAACGATTGTAAATGCATTATGCATTCGCCATACTTCGCATTTCACATTCCGTTGACATCACACTTGAATAATGACAAATGCCTCACGATACTACATAGATTTTTCATGCAAATGCATGGATTCAAATGCGATATAGTAAATACCCCTAGCATTCCGCACTATGGAAAATCACGGTAATTTATGATTGCAATTAGTGCAAATACGCTTCAATAATGAAGTAAAAAGCGTTTGCCGATAACTGGTTTAAATTCTTCAATACGAACTTGCTTTGAAAAAGTAAGATCAGTTTTTCTTCTGCGACAAACGCATGCAGTAATCCTTTGAAACAACAGAACAACACAAATAAGTGTATATAGATGTTGAGTTTCAAGTATAAAGCACGTTTTATTTAATTGACAACAATTTCGCCATGCATTCAAAACTCCGTGCAAATATGTTATAATATTATAATATTCATTCTTCAAAAGTTACAGTTTGTCATCAACAGTACAATTCTTATAAATAGAATATGAAGCTCATGTGTATCAAATAAATTCCGTTGTTTGTTTTTTATTTAGATTTATTTTCAAATTGAACCTTTTTTTACTTCAAATTCACGGTTAAAACAAATATGATCGAAGAAAAAGTAAATAAATGCGTTTGTGTTAATTTAAATAATTCGCCATAATTGTTTTATCGGGTTACAATAGCGGAATGTATGAATATGTGATAAAGTGATATAGACCATGTCAACGGTTCACAACGTGGCCAAATATGTCAAACATATTTGCTTCAAAACAGATTTTCTGAATTAGGCATTTGGATTGTTTCTCATCAGCTTAATATCTGAAGTGACCATATCATCAACTAGGTCCAAAAACGATACTTTTCTCTTCCATCCAAGTTCACGTTGTGCCTTCTCTGGGTTTCCGAGCAGTAGATCAACTTCGGTGGGACGGAAGTATTTCGGATTAACCTTAATTCGAACGATATCCGTTCCAGCTTCAACACCCACTTCATTCACACCTTCACCGCACCATTCAATTTTTCGGCCGATGACCGCAAAAGAGGCTTCAACAAATTCACGTACAGTGTGCGTTTCACCTGTGGCCACCACAAAGTCCTGTGGTTCTTTTTGCTGTAGCATCAACCACATTGCCTCGACATAGTCTTTTGCGTGGCCCCAATCACGTTTCGAATCCAAATTTCCCAATTCAAAGCATTCCAATTGATTCAAATGGATTTTGGCTACCGACCGCGTAATTTTGCGAGTTACAAAATTCTCGCCTCGACGTGGACTTTCATGATTAAAAAGGATTCCATTGCATGTAAACATGTCATATGCTTCACGGTAGTTAATTACAATCCAGTAGGCGCAGATTTTTGCACAAGCTAAAATCGAAAAATAAAACGAAATGATTAGGAATGAACTTTGGGATCAGATAGAATCGGATAGTACCATATGGTGATCGTGGATAAAATGGTGTGGTTTCACTTTGTGGTGTTTCAACTACTTTTCCATAGAGCTCCGACGTACTGGCCTGATAGAATTTCACCTTTTTCTCCAGTTCACATGTTCGAATCGCATCTAACAAACGGTAGGTTCCAACAGCATCCACCTCAGCGGTGTATTCGCTCAATTGAAACGACACTTGAACATGACTTTGCGCAGCCAAGTTATATATCTCATCTGGTTTCACTGCTGCAATTACTTTCACCAAACTGCTGCTATCGGTCATATCGCCGTAATGTAGCTTCATTTTTCCCTCACGATGACTCTTTGAATCGGCGTACAAGTGCTCAATGCGACCTGTGTTGAATGAACTCGATCTTCTGATTATTCCATGCACAGTGTAGCCTTTATCCAGCAGGAATTCGGCTAAATACGAACCATCCTATGAAAACAAAATGATGTGGTGGTGTCAGAATTTGGTGCGATTTATTTAAGTGAAAATTTAATCTCGCTAAAATGGCCTATTTTTTACCTGTCCCGTAATACCAGTTATTAAAGCTACTTTAGATCCAAATCCATTTTGGTCAATTGATGATTGATTTGAACTCATTGTTGCGTCGAATATAATTACGATTCTCACGACGAAAATTAAACTTCACGTCTACTTCGGTGCGCGCTCCAAGACAAAGTGTGCAATTATTCTCAACAATGAAGATACGTACGGTAAAACGTAGCGATCGATAAGAAAACATCTGAAAAAACATCTGCAAACAAATATGGATCGCATACTAAAAAAAATTGAACACATTTTTCTACAGTTCATTTAAATTGAATACGTATTACGAGTAGCAGTGGTGATTGGTGGTTTCTATTTATTCACTTGAAAAAAATTTAAATAGACTTCCATAATGAATACGACAAATAGTAAACAATACCTCAATCTAATTTTTTGCTTCGCTTATTAGAACTGGATTTTGAAACTTGCAAAATAAGAACAAAATTATTAGAATTAGATTATGATTTCCGTCCATGTGTTCAATCTTGTTCTTTGAACTAATCGATGCAAAGTACCAATCGGACATCGAAGTCCGAAGTGTTACATCAGCACGACACGTTCATTATGCTTTCTCCGATGCATATACATCACAAACATGCTATAATTTTCTTTGTAAACTGGCGTTCAGTTCAAATGACAGCACTAGAAGACGACAATTCTTTATACTTTAAACATAGTAGTATTTTAATAATTCCATTGATACTAAATTGTTGCTATATGTCCATCTATTCAAAAGACCTGATCAAAATCAGCGTATTCAAAGGTTAAATTATAATAGTAACACAGCGAGTTACATCTCAATAAAAAAAACTACGCTACAAATATACCGCGTGTATTCTCTGCGCACGCTACGTTTATACCCTTTTCACGCTTACGCTTATTTTATACATAGTTTAATACAGAGTCGAAGGTATATTTAAGGGATATTTTTAGCGTGAACCGCATGCAAAGCATACGTATAGAATACTTAGACTTAGCGTATTCTATCCATATGCTTTGCATGCGGTTAACGCTAAAAATATCCCTTAAATATACCTTCGACTCTGTATTAAACTA